AGCCACTAGGCCCCGCACTCCCCTCCCAGAGCTGGAAACAGAACCCAGGAGTCCTGGCTCCCAGGCCCCCTGCTCTGACCACTAGACCCCACACTCCCCTCCCAGAGCTGGAAACAGAACCCAGGAGTCCTGGCTCCCAGGCCCCCTGCTCTGACCACTAGACCCCACACTCCCCTCCCAGAGCTGGAAACAGAACCCAGGAGTCCTGGCACCCTGGCCTCTCGCTCTAACCACTAGACCACGCTGCATCCGGTCCAAGTCTCTGCGCCTTTGTACAGATGACCCCAGAGACTGCTCTTCTCCTCCCGTGCGGGTGAGACGCTCTTGGGCTCGGCTCTTCCCATCCTGCGGCGCGCTGGGAGAACGGGGTCTCCGCAGCCTCCCATGTCCGGGCCTCCCTACCCCCTTGTTAATTGCACGTTTCACAGCACCGTTTTCAGGCAAGAGCCTGGGCGGGAGGGAGGGAAGCAAACTCCTCCCCTCACTTCCCCCTGCCCAGGAAAATGGCCGTTTTCAGCACCTTGGGGACGTGGCGGATGGTGAGCGACACCCGGGTTCCCCGGCGCAGCTCGTCCCCGAGTGCCGCGCTGCAGGCCACCACGTTGGCCACTTTCTCCGTGATGGCGTCGGAGGTGGCGGGTCGGATCCCGTGCAGGTAACGGACGTACATGTCCTCCCGCAGAACCAGGAGGCTGCGCGGCTCCAGCAGCAGGGACAGGAAGTGGCGCTGCTCCTCTGTCTGGGGCGTGGGGACCTGAGAAAGGACAGCAGAGCACGTTCAGAACCAAACCTGGCCCCTTCTGCACCTGCTTCCACGGGAGGATCTCAAAGCACCCGAAGGATGTGAGTAGTTTAAGCCACACAACCCCCCTGGATGTTTACAGCACCACCCCCAGTCTTCCAGATGGGGAAATGGAGGCACCAACAGGGCTTTGCCTAAGACCACACAGTGAGTCAGCAACAGGACTGGGGAACAGAACCCAGGAGTCCTGATTCTCAGCTGCCCCTGCCCCCCCACCTCTAACCACTAGACCTCACTCCATTCTCAGAGTTAGGAACAGAAGTCCTGATCCTCAGGCGTCTCCCACGTGTTCTAACTACTACATATCACTCCCCTCCCAGAGCTGGGGATAGAACCCATGTCCATGTGGACAAACTGGAGAAAGTCCAGAGAAGAGCAACAAAAATGATTAAAGGTCTAGAAAACATGACCTGTCAGGGAAGATGGAAAAAACTGAGTTTGTTTAGTCTGGAGAAGAGAAGACTGAGAGGGGACGTGATGACTGTTTTCAAGTGCATAAAAAGGTTATTACAAGGAGGAGGGAGAAAAATTGTTCTCCTTAACCTCTGAGGATAGAGCAAGAAGCAATCGGCTTAAATTGTAGCCAGGGAGGTTTAGGTTGGACAGTAGGAAAAACTTCCTGTCAGGGTGGTTAGGCACTGGAATAAATTGCCTAGGGAGGTTGTGGAATCTCCATCATTGGGGATTTTTAAGAGCCGGTTGGACAGACCCCGGTCAGAGATGGTCTAGATAATACTTAGTCCTGCCAGGAGTGCAGGAGACTGGACTAGACGACCTCTCGCGGTCCCTTCCAGTCCTCTGATTCTGTGATCTCCCATAAGGTGGGCAGGGGGTGCATCCATGCGCACCTATAAGTGCATCACCCATAAACTGTATGAGAGAGAGAGAGGAGGAGAAGGGAGGTGTACGTGAGTCCGGCTGTAGCAGTTTCTAAGCCGGATGAGTTAAAGCACCGTAAGATCCGTGCGCAGACCAGCCCTGCCCCAGCTTAGCTTCATGCACCTCAGGGATCCCACCGCAGGGAACACAATATGGTTATCGGTTTCCCCGTCGCGCCTCAGGCAGAGAGTTTTAAGGCTGCCCGAGAGATCTGGCCCTCAGATTAAAGTGAGCAGGAACTGGTTACCCCAATCCGCTGATCGGGCTCCATTGCCCGCGGCGCTGAGCACACAGAGTGAACAGACAGTCTCTGTCCAGCTCAGGTCCTTCGATACCACAATGATGGGCAGCAGCTGAGTGCCTCACAGAAATGGATTTACCCTCACAACCCTCTACAGGAAGCAGGGGGGTTCTACTGGGGCAGGGGCTGCCTTTCTGTTCCGGGTTTGAACAGCTCCCGGCACAATGGGGGCTCCTGGTCTATGACTGAGGTGCCTAGGCGCTACCGTAATACACCTAATAGCAATAAAAATGTACAGCTCCCAGCACAATGGGGGGTTCCTAGTCCAGCACTGGGGCGCCTAGGCACTACCGTAATACACCTAATAGCAATAAAAATGTACAGCTCCCGGCACACTGGGGGCTCCTGGTCCATGACTGAGACGCTTAGGCGCTACCATAATACAAATAATATCGCCACCTTACAGAACTGAGGCCCAGAGAGGCTAAGTGACTTGCCCAAGGTCACAAAGGATGACTCTAGTGGAGCAGGGAATCAAACCTGGGTCTCCCAAAGCCCAGGCTAGCTCCCTAACCACTTGGCCATCCTTCCTCTCTGGTCCCCGGGTGTTAGGCATGTGCATACCCCTCAACAGGATCGGAGCCTAACTAACGACAAATCAGAAAGCAGGAAAGTGACAACACTCAAAATACAAACAAACAAACAGAGAATTCTTGGCATTTTCTCAGTTCTCTTTCAGACATGCAGATCTCAGGGGCCGGGTGAAACCTCTCCAGGCACATCTAGATGTGACGTGTTAGCAGAGCCGGGTGAACGTTGTCAGACAAATAATTTATTCAACGACAGATGCGATATTGGTTGATCAGAAACTATTGGCAAATTTGTTGCGAGTAGTTTTGGCCATTCATAAAATGAGGGGGTGGGGGGATGGGGAGAAGGAGATAGCTTCTTGGTATAGCTCTCCATAGCCGCCACCACTAGCACCCCCATAATGCCCAGCTCGGTGGTTACAGCACGTAGGAGAGCCAGGTACAAATTCCCGCTCCGGAACAAACCCCAGACAAACTTTTACGATTCATCTACAAATTCCAGATTCGGTTTGACCCACGCCGCATTTGTTTTCGATTTTTCAGAACTGCCACCAAACCAAAGGGGGAACAAAACAACAAACAAACAAACCAGTTATTCTCCAGGCTCTGTTTGCAATTCCTTCTGTGCTCACCTGCTCACTGTCCGCGTGCTGCCCCCTGCTGACGGGATGGTAGAAGTCCAGCAGCGTGTGTGATCCCAGGCTGATGGTGGTGACGGTGGGGAAGTACAGAGGTCCATCTTCATGAGGCTGGAGGGAGCTGGCATGTCAGACTAAAAAGGGAACGATCTCACACACACACACACACCCTCCCCCAGCTCTCCTCGCCAGTATCAAGCATGAAATGCAGAAAGACACGGCTCTAAACACCAAAGACACGTGGACCAACCCATCACACGCAGGCCCTGCTGCTGAGAAGATGCCTCTCTGATGTCGCCAACCTTTGTAGCCAGCGCACATGGCAAAGCCAGGAGTGTGGGCGGGGTGTGCATGCCCTAGGCTTGCATGTCACTGGTGCTCATGCTCCACTCCCAAGATAAAAACCCGGCTGTGGAAGCAATCTGCTCTCTCACAGCGAGGTCGGGCTATCGAAAGGTGTTGGGATTAAGAGAAGATATTGGTAGCCGGGAGTCCTGACACACAGCCCCCCTGCTCTAGCCACAACTCCTTTCCCAGAGCTGGGGACAGAACCCAGGAATCCCAACTCCCAAGCCACCCCCGTGCTAACCATCACTCTCCAGGGAAAACCTAGTCTTGGCTATCTAGACTCCGTCCCCCTGAAATCTCCAGCCAGCATGAGTTGCCACTGCTGCAAGATTTGCTCCCACAAACACGCCTCTGATCAGGTCAGGTTCTGCGTCTGCCCCTCCTCCTTTGCCCCCACAGGGCAGGAGCCACCCTGAGGTTGAGTAACGGAGCAGCTGGCCCGTGGGTAGTTACCATGATCCCCTGCCCAGGGAGGTACTCATTCAC